GATACAAAATGAACAATTACAAAACAGAAACAGACTCACAGACATAGAAAACAAACTTCTGGTTACCAAAGGGGAAAAGGGATGGGAGAGGGATAAATTAGGAGCTTGAGATTTGCAGACACAAACTACTATATATAAAATAGACAAACAAGGTACCTACTGTATATCACAGGGAACTATATTCAGTATTATAATAAGTCACAATGGAAAAGAATATGAAAAAGAATATATATATATATATATATAAAACTGCATCACTTTGCTGTATACCAAAAACTAACACAACATTGTAAATCAACTATACTTCAATAAAAAATTAAAAAGAAAAAACCCAAAACAGAACAATATACTAAAATTACAGGAACTCTACAGAATAAAAAGCTTCATCATGTTTCGATCCAGAAAATAAGATTACTACATCTGGCATAATTAATTTTATAATTTAATACACTATAAATATATGCTATCTTTTCCCTAAGAAAGAAATTCTAAACTAGAGACTGATCTGACAGAGAAATGAATACCTGTGCTACATCACTTCTTTGAATGTCTATTAATGACAGACATTCATAATGCAATCTACTACTTCATATACTGATATAGTGACTACCAGGTAAAGAAAAACTAAAAAAATTGACTACTTACTTTTCACTTTCACCTAGCCACTTAGAAACAAGGTCAGAGGAAGATATCGAGAAAAATGTTGAGTTGTTTGCTTCTGTTGCTACAGCTTTGGCTAAATAGGATTTTCCTGTTCCAGGTGGTCCAAATAATAGGATTCCTCTCCAAGGTGTTCTCTTGCCTAAAATGTGCATTAGAAAAATAACATGAGAATTTCCAGATTGTTAATTTCAGTTACCACTGACATTATCCATAGTGAAGATTACTGTGAAGAAGTTTTCACTCTAAAGCTATCAATTTAATAAAACAAAATTTAAATAAATCGATCTAAAGTAAGTTATGTTTTAAATGTACTTCATTTACTTTTTCTAGAGACCACCTTGTCAAAAGTGTTTATCCAGCTATAATCCTTCTAACAGGAAGTTCATTGCTTGCTCACTCATTCAACCACCACGTATTGAAACCACAAGGTGCAGACAGAGAATTATGAATAGAAAAGGACTTCTACCTTCCATGGGCTTACAGTCTAGTGGGGGAAAAGAATTCAGTTAAAAGATACTTCTTGACCACCTACTATGTGCACTGCTCGATATCAGAATATTGTAGGAGAAATCATATCCACATGGGAAGGGTAGCTGGAAATATTTTCTTTTAAATATTTATGAACTTTGGAGGAGTGAAACTAACACAGTTTGGATGACTCATGAAGTTCTACTCAATTCACGACTCAACAAGGAAGCACAGGTTACATTACACAGGGCATATTCCCTTTCCAAAGGCTAGGTAATGACAAGGGGGCTCTACCTTAAATCCTGGTTTCGCCCAAGTACAGCAAGTGAACAAATCAACTCTTTGTATCTCAATTTTGCTAATGAGAAATTATACTGCTGCTTAAACAAACCAAGCTGGGTTACAACTGGCAATAAAATAACAAATACACATAAAAAAACCACTAGGTGTAAACTGTGGATGGGCACACAGTGTCTGCAAAAAAATGATATGCACATGACTGATGGCAAAACTAAATAATGTTCTGTTTATTGTTATGAAAGCCTCAACTTTCACTTGAATTCTATTTGCCTATTTCAAATGTCTGCAATTATACATCAGTGTTCCCTTAAGTGTGGTGGCAGATGACATGCTTTTAGGTGGTTTACAAATACTTTTTATTTAAATAATTTTTAAAATGCATTTTAGAAAAACACTACTTTTTCCATTTACAGAGACAAAAAGAAGTCTTTTAAAATAAAATTACTAAGTCCAAACAAGTGAGATGATTTAAAAGTTCAAATACAGGCAAAACAATCTATGGTGTTAGAAGTGAAGAGAGTGATTACCTCAGGGGAGGAAAGAGGCAGAGAGGGATATCCAGGTTATGATAATATTTTTTTTATCTGGGTGACGACTATACAGGTGTACTCTGTGATAATTTATAAAGCGGAACACTTGGGTTCCTGCATGTCTTCGTACATTTATGCTATATTTGAGTAAAAAAGTTTGCTTTAAAAGTGAGTGATGTAAAGAAATATTTTAAAAATGGTACATGTATATGGAAAAATTCATGAAGATGATACACAAAGGACTCATGTTTGGGAAACACTGGTGTAAGTAACATAACATAAAATGAGTTCACCCATACTTTTGTACCTTTATAGGATTATGATGTCAGCTTTTACACTGTTAGGCTCACATTCCTGAAGTGAGGTGGGAAGTCGTACCTCGAAGCTAGGTGGACAACAGGTGGCCCAGGGGTTCTCTGTTCTTCATCACTGCTCTATACGACATTACGGCCTGGACCTGTTCAGTCTGAGGCCAGTATCACAGATTTGCTCTCTACATAAACCAGCTTGTTTTAGAAGGATAAACCTCTGTTTCACTCTTAGACTCTGGGTATCGTCATATCACAAACACTAACTATCAGTCACAAAAAGGACAGTGGGAAGGAATGGCTTGGCGCAGCCAAATCACCTACTGCTGGAGCTTGAAGCTCAACTACCTCCAAATGGTGGGCTGGCAGTGCTCTCCTCACAGTGATGATGAGCTCCTACAGGACCCACACTCCCATCAAACTGCTCAATAACCCTTACTCCTCTTTTTGAGAAACAGACATACTCCTATAAACCTAGTACGTGTCCACTGAAAACAATTCAGATGAAAGTCAAAAGAAAAATCACCCATAATCTGATCTCCTAGGCATACATTAACATTTTTACATCAATCTGTCTACACTTCTCAGCACACACATTTATTTAACAAATGTGGACTCCTACTATACGTATTGTATAAACTGTTTTTTAATCTCTATGATATATGTGGATGTTCTTCCATGTCAATTATAATGCAGTCCAAATTTCTTAATGGGGATGTAGACTCTATTTTCTTGAGTGCACAGTATTCTACTGCATGTTGGTGATTTACCTGATGCCCGACTGGTTCACATTTAGGTTGTTTCGCAATATATATAATAAATACACATACGCAGAGAAGACAAATACCTTTGTATAAAGATCTTCCACTGCCTCACAATAGAATTTAAGGTAATAACTCACGATATAGTGACAAGAATTCACAGTATTTTACCCTCAGTCATCGATGTGTTTTCTAAAAACCATCAAAAAAATTATTTAAAAGTCATCTCACCGGTAAAGAGATGAGGAAATTTAATAGGCAATATCACGGCCTCTTTCAGCGCTTCTTTGGCTCCTTCAAGACCAGCAACATCGCTCCATTTCACATTCGGTCGCTCTATAACAATGGCACCTACAAAGAATTATGTCATCTTTAGATTAAGGAGGACTAGGCAATCAAATTTAGAAGACATGGAATACTGATTTTAAAGAAATGCATTATACATTTGTCTGGAAAAGTTTCACGCATTAAAAATATTTTTGAAATAGTGTGATGAGGAAGTAGTTGTTGGGGAGCAGCCTGCAGGGGTCAGGACAGGGTGGCTGGCTAGACAATCTAGGGTAAAGTCACTCCACTTCCTCATTGTGAAAAAAAAAGTAATACCACTTGCCCAAACTACTCAGACGAGTTAGTGTAAAGATCAAGTGACATCATGGATATTAGAATGCTTGGAAAAGCACCAAACATTACATCAAGTAGCTACAATGTTTGAATACACTAATTATGAAATACCTCCTATTTTTCCTTAAAAGAACTGGTGCTCTAATACTTTTCTTAACCACAGAAAGAAAAAATACTTAACAACTATAACTAAAGATAGGCAGAGGGATGGGTAAGTAGATAGAAGCGAGGAGGGGAGGGAGGGGAGAGGAGCAGGGAAAGGGAAGGGGGTGATGGAGAAGAGAAAGTGGACTCTTACAGATTTGCAATACTTTCCTGAGATTTGCCAGATTTTGTATTTGGCTTCTAAATAGACCTATTTACAGTTTTTGTACATTAACAAGGTTATTTAAAAGATTTAGTTTTTGAATACAGTGTATTCAAAAGTCACAGCAAACTACTGCAGTACAAGTACACAAAAGATTTACTATAGCTTACTGGCAAAACTTTCTAATTACCTTTTATCAAAAAAGCTTTTCCAATTTTCTACTATATAGAAATTGTTCAACTACAAATTATTAAGTAGCCTGTTCTAGGGTGACGTGTAGTTGTTTTGGCTTTTTGGTTTTTTTTTTTTTTCTTTTTTTGGATGTATAATTGTTTTAAGTTTATCACTACTTACACAATCAACTAATTATCTATAAAATTAGTTTTACGGGTATCTTCTTCTCTTATGAAAGATCATCTATCGTTATTCTAAGAGTGCTAATACTCTGCAACTTACTTTCCTAAATTATGAAAATCTTTAGTTGTACATTAAAATTAGACGAAACCATAAACATTTTTTGCAGTCTAAGAGTTCAGATGAAGTATAAATTAAGAAAAAAGCTAATTTGCTTTTTCTTTTAGATTACATGAGAAATATACATGAGAAAATACTACATTTTCTGATAGGATTTTGTGTCAGTTAAATGAAAGTAAATTTATATATAAGCATCAGCTAGTCAACTGAAGTTTTCTGTCATGAATTTTTCTAAATATGTCATATTTTAACTTCACATTTAATTAATATTTTTCTCCTTAAAGTTTAAACTAGGTGACTTTGGAATGTTTAGTGATAAAAGATTATTTAGCTAAAAGTAAAATTAATTATTAGACACTGATTAATGGTTTGCAAAATTAAAAGGAAATAAAAATTTTATTTGGAAAATAAAAGCCAAGCAATTTGATTGTTCCAATTATAAAAATTTAGTCAGTCTTTGTTTACATATTATTATACTAAAATTTAACCTCAAAGTCACTGCATATCAAAATTAGCTAACAGAAAACTCAAATCATAAACTCTTTAATTTTAATTAATCAAAACTTACACTTTATGTCATAACCTAAAACAGAAGTAAAAGATTTAGAAAACTGTTTCAGGAAAAAAGAGGAAAGATTCAAAAAAGGATATTATACAATGAAATCCATCAGCAAACCGAGAAACTAAAAGATGGAAAAAAAGGATTCTCAGGTATGAAAGGCTAAGAATCCTTTCAAATTCAAATTCATCCTGAAATTCCAAATAAATTTCCTGACTTAAATATTTTAAGCGTTTGTATTTTTATACATTTCTGGGCCTTGTCATAACTTGATAGGGAATTTAAAGAAAAATTCCCTATTAAAAATT